TTACTACACTTCGAGTGAAGTTAACCTGTGGTAAATTAAATTGAATGGGTATGATTTGGAAAGGCACACACGTCTTAATTAAAGGTCTAACAGCTGATAATGCATATCAGAGCAAAAACCAATCAAAGAACTGCCTGTAGAGCTCAGAAACAGGTTTGCATCAAGCCACACATCTGGGGAAAAGTTCAGAAAAAAAAATCTGCTTAATTGAAGTGTCACAGAAACATGTAGTCTCTGTTACCCTTAATGGAAGAAGTTTGAAACAACCAGGACTCTTCCTAGAGCTGGCCTCCTGGCCAAACTGAGCAATTGATGGAGAAGGGCTTTGGTTAGCATGGTGACCAAGAACCTGATGGTCACTCTAGTTGAGCTCCATGATCATATGTGGAGATAGGAGAAATCTACCGAAGGATAAACATTACTGCAACACTCCATCGATTTGGACTTTATGGCGGTGTGGCAAGACTCAATCCTCTCTTCAGTGAAGACACATGAAAACACACTTAGAATTTGCAAAAAAAAGCACCTAAAGGACCTCAGACTGTGAGAAACAAGATTCTCTGGTCTGATGAACCTCAATTCCAAGCATCATGTTTGAAGGAAACCAGCTCTGCTCACTGCGATTATGAACGTGGTTTTGCACAGCTTCTCAGTGAACTACGGCTCTGTGCAGTAAATGCTACTCCATCCGAAAGCACGCACGTGATGGAGATTTACTCCTGATTACAGAACCGGCTTTACTGACAAGATGCGCATGAATATCGCATGAGATTTATCGTGCAGTCCTACCTCCTGGTCAAACTGAGCATTTGATGGAGAAGGGCTTTGGTTAGAGTGGTGACCAAGATCCTGATGGTCACTCTAGTTGAGCTCCATAATCAAATGTGGAGATAGGAGAAGGACAAACATCACTGCAACACTCCACTGATCTGGACTGAGTTGAACCCAATCAACTATTTCTGGAGAAACCTGAAATTGTGCATCTGCCCCCATCCAACCTGACAGAGCTTGAGAGGTGAAGAGGTGAGGTGAAGAATGGCAGATAATTGCCAAATGCTGATGAGCAAAGCTTGTCGCATCAAACAAAAAAGAGTTGAGGCTGTAAAGGTGCTTCAGCTAAATATATAGTTAAGGGTATGAATACTTATGCAATGTACTTATTTCAGTTTTTTTTTTTTTTTTAATAAATGTATGAGGTTGTGACAATTCTGTTTTTGCTTTGTCGATATGGTGTATGGAATGTAGATTGATATGGGAAAAAAAAGTCATTTAAAGCAGTTTTACATAAGGCAGGAACATAACATAACGTGAAAAAAATGAAGGGGTGTGAATACTTTCGCAAGGCACTGTATGTTTTATTTTAGCAATGTTGTTACAGTGTAATTACCCAAATAAGCACTGAGTAATATTAATTAACTACATGTACTATCTATATGGTTAAGATTAGGGTTTGGTTTAGGGTTAGTTGCTTGTAATTTTCCGCTGTCTTTTACTACTAATAATAATTTACTATTATTACTATAGTAAGTACATGTAATGTGTAACTATGCCTTAAAATAAAGTGTTACCAACATCACATAAATATATAGATACTGTACATTTTTTTAACTAAAGTGAGTGTGGTTGGTTGCTAGGTGATGTTCTTGGTGGTTGCTAGGGTGTTTGTTGGTTCTAAACGCTTGTAACCTTGTTACCTAGCCAGGTAAACACTGCATTCTGATGCATGAACTGTCAATAAACAATCAATTGCTTGTGTAACTTCATTTTCATTTTCATTCAGTTTCTTAATAATTGATTTGTTGAATGACACTTCTAGAATGTCTGTGGGCTCTTGTGCTTTCAGAACAGAGCAGTCAGTCAGCTGCAATCATGAGTTCTGCTTTATTCAGTGGGAGATCTCTGAGTCTCTCTGAGTCCTGCTGTGTGACTGAAGCAGGATAAAATTCCCCTCTCCTCTTCCTTAGTGGATGATAAAAGCCATAGAAAGCAGATGAATTATCGAGAAGAGGTTTGAAAGGAGGACATTTTTTTTTTCAGAAGACCTTTTTGACTATATTCATTCATGTGCATGATGGATGGATTTTCCACGTTAGTTTGCATATACAGTAGCTGACCTCTTTTTCCTCGTTTTCCATGTGCTCCAGGCTCTCCTGGCAACCCTGGAATTCCATCTGTTCCATTATACCCCGGCATTCCGTCCACACCCGGCAAGCCTGGAAGTACATAAAGTAAGATTATTTGAGTAACACATTATTTGGAACTCTACACTAAAAATTGGCGTATAAATAAATTTCACTCAGAAATTGCTAGCAAATTTCACAGTTAAGTACAAAGAAATGTAACACAAAGCACTTTTATGACGCTTCCAATTCTAATTGCCACAATGCAAAGAAAAATGTGTGTGTGTGTGTGTATATATATATATATATATATATATATATATAAAAGTTGAAAGATTTATACATCATGGTAATATTTTTGTACTGATTTTCATTTATGCAAAATGCTTTTGCAATATTTAATTATCATTCATTCATCCATTCATCCATCTTTTCCCCTGTAGAATATAACCCATGAACAACATTAGAATAATTAATTTCTTACCTGGAATTCCTGGTTGTCCTGGTGGTCCTGGTGGCCCTGTGAAAGTTGAAATCAAACCAAACTGTAAACTTGGAGACAATCGATTCTGTAGATAAGAAGTTGTCTAAATAAAAATGACCCAATAGATTCTAATACTCACCAGTCAGACAGACTCCTTTAGTACTGTTGCAAATGTCCAGAAGAATTTTAACCTGAAACATATATTTGTACTCAAGTTGTTGCAGAACTGTTTTGAAAAATGTTCTAGATGAATCCAATTATGTAACCATGCACTGGAGCAAAACCAAAAACAAATTTAAAGGAGCTAAAAACGTTTACTTTTCATTTGTGAATAGAAGAATTATCTACAGATAAGAGATAAATGATATAGAATTTTTTTCTTATTACACTCTTCGAAAGCAGGGCATTAATGTACTATGTTGATGTGAAGGAATTTTCCATATTGATTTTTCCACAGGTGTTTTACTCATATTTTTAATTACACATTGCATTCTGTTGTGTGTTAGGGTTAGAAATGTCTGTAAACTTCTAATATAATGTTGAGCTTGATGTTATGTAAACTTATAATGCTGAATTTACAGACATTTCTATGGACATTTATAACAGACTTTTTAAAGGATTTTTTTTCTTACAGCGTATAAAACGTAAAACATTGTATATACTATTTAAGAAAAAAAATCCATCTACTGTATTAGGAAATTCAGACACAATACAATTCAACTAGTTGAAGTTGTGAAATAAAGAGCCTTACAGAAAATAA